TTAGGCGTGAAAACGACAGTGAGAAAGGAATGAGGGCGAGTGTGTATACGTGAAAGACAGATATATACGAAAGAGCTGTGGGTGTGATGGTATTAACACAAATGATATAAGGTCACTTTAGAGGAAAACGACTGCCTGTACCTGACAAACAAAGACTTTATCTCAAATGTGTCTGTGTTTACGTGCGTCACTTTTTTTGGATTTCATTCCAAAGAATCAATATACAGTATATATACACAAGGGCAGCTTACCGAAGACTCTGGCCACGAAGCCGAGGGGGAAGTGCGAGGAGAAGGCGGTGAGGAACCAGGGTGTGGCGTACAGGCTGGGTCCAATCTCCTGCTGCTCCAGGTGGCTGTAGAGATCCCTGTGGTAGTCGTGGAGCAGCCGCGACAGCTGGTACATCTGAATCTGACGGGAACAACATACCAAAGATTGTTTTTTTTGGTTGGTGCGGTGGAGTGTACATCATGCGCAGGTTGTGCTTTTATTATTTTGTGCGTGGTTTTAAATTTAAGGCAGAGATTTGGAGCCTATTCTCAGGCTCAAAAATGTAACTAGGCCTGGTTTAAGGACGTGAAGACTACACAGCAAATGTCTCTTTTCAGTAAAGAAACAACAGCTTGTTATCACAATAGCTGTTCTATCAAAGGGTGATATAAAACCTACACCATGGGAATCTATAGAAAGGCATAGCCCCGCCCCTTTAGGTAGATGACCATAGGACCTTATTTTGGAAAAAATATGTACGGTAGTCAACAGCGGGAGACAAATCATTTTTGATCACGTTTGAATTGTGCCATGAATTACACTTATGATGTCTCAATTTTAAAGATCATTTTGCAAGTCGAGAAAGTCGCAGTCTGGCATAAAACGTTGGAAATTAAGACCCCCAAAAGTCGCGCAATTGACGTCTGTTGCTGAAGGTAAGACGACTATGTGTTTTGTGACACTCACACGAACGTTACATTTGTGTACGGAACATAGCTAAGTTAGCTTGCCAGACGTACACTGACAGACTCTGTAAGTGTCCTATATATGTGGGACAAAGAGGCTCTGTGTGTGTGTGTGTGTGTGTGTGTGTGTGTATCCATTTCACCTGCAGGATAATCATGTCAGGCCTGTACTGTTTGCGGAGCCCCACGTCATACATGAGAAATTTGAGCATGTAGAAGGCGTCCTCCTCCTCCATGTGTAACAGCAGCACTCCCGCAATGAAGGACAGGCCCTGGCAGTAGCCCACCTGCAATTGCAACGATAACAAACTTGACGTCCACACAGACAAGGAAGGGGAAAAGGGCTTAAGCCAAATAAAGACAGTTAACAGTTCTATTTAGTCCATCAAAAGAGAGAGAGAGAGAGAGAGAGAGAGACAGAGAGAGACACAGACAGACAGACAGAGAGATATAGATCGAGACACCCAAAAGAAGAATGAAATGGTACCTCTGGGTCCAGCAGTGAGTAGGCTTTCAGTAGATTATACAGAGACAGCTGTCCTGCCCCCAGCTGTGCTTGGAAATACGGATGAGTGGGAAAAGTGCGACCTGGGATGGAAAAGAGAAAAAGAGCGAGATATGATCCATCTTGCCTAAACTCTCTGCACTGTTTATATTTACTATGAAATTGCTGCACCAGACAAACTGGCCTATTTTGATGTCTGCGATCGACCTGATGAAACTGTTTTAATAGATTTGATTTCTTTGACATTTGTCTGAATGGAAAGAACCTGAGGGTGTGTCTGAATGGGGTGCTAGACTTCCCGCGAGGGAGTCCGGTGCGTGAGCACGTGTCGTCATGCTCACAAATGAAACCGCCCCGCTTTAAAGTGAATACCCGTGTACCCTCCTTCAGAAAGGTTACATAAGGTAGGACAATATAATGTCCCGGGATCTGTGATAAAGAACATTCTTAAAGAGGCCGGGCTGGTAATTGGCAGGTGCGTAATTCGGTACTGAGCAGAACTTGCAGCGTGTGACAGTGTGGCTTTTGGAGAAGACAGTGACGCCGTGCGCGAGTTTGTATGCACGGAATGCGCTGTAGGGGCTTTATGAACATAATGCCACGACTCCCTCCCCTGCCTGGAGGGAAAAGTGTGTCTATGTTTCCGAATGTAAGGTGTGCTGAACTTCACAAGCCGGAATTCTTCTTTTTCTTGCCCAACTTATGTTGTTACCTCAGTTTAAACTGCGCATTTGCATGTTTACGTGCTTTCATACCACAGCCTTTGTTATGTGGCTACGTAGAGTCACCTCCGTCCCCGCCTGATGTAGCGTGAATAACATGACAGATGAAAGACGGTAAACAGCAAAACACAGGGGAGGTTAGGTGCTACAGGGATGGATGTGTGGGTGGATGTGTATGTATGTGGGTGTTATGTGGGTGGGGTGTAGGTACTGTGCGTGCGTGTGTGTGTGTGTGGGTGGGTGGAAGGTGTTGAGGGCAAAAGCGTGAGGTTTGAGACATTACAGTGTACTCAGTGCAGAGTTTCACCAAATTAAATGTAAGACCTTGTTTAATTTACCTCGCAGGACAGCTGGATTCTCGCAATACCTATCTAGGGATGGGTATCGCTAGGATTTAAGCGATACAACGAGAAGTGTTTAATACCTTTTTCACAGCTATACTTGCCAAATAATGACAGAATACCAGCAGGGACAATAAGGTCCACAATTATTGGATAAGTACATACATTTATTGACATGTACATCGCCTATTTGTCAGTACTTCCCAGCCTTAAATAATAATTTCTAGTAATGGACCCAGATACGATATTGAAGGATGGATTAACAAGATAAATAATAATTTAAGTACATTTCTGTTCAAATCAACCCATTATGAGTCGATGAGCTTCTCAGCCGCTGTAGCTAGCAGTTAATAGATGTATAATGTCTCCCGACAACCTGCAAGCGGATACAAAACACAGCTACAACTCGTAGCTGGCAAGGAAAATATGCATGAATTGCATTCACTTTTTAAGAACTTTCAAGACCTGTGGAAAATCTAAAGAATTGTGCTCATGGTACTGTGCATCCATTTACCCAGATCTATGAGGATGGCGTGCTGCTGCGTGGTCAGCTGTTTCAGCAGCTCTTTGTACGGAGTGTGATTGGCGGGCGGTCGGGACGGGACCGTCTGCCTGAGCAGGTATTGTTCGGACAGAAACTTCCAGATCTCGCCCCGGTGCTGCCTCGGGACGCCTGTCGGAGACGAGGGAGGGTTAGTTCGAAGGTGGAATAGTAGGTTAACCAGCTGTTTCAAACCAGTAGTATGCAAATCATGAGGTGACTTGAAAATGTGGTGAAATTTAGAGGCTACTCTTATATATACCCATCAGCCAAAAAAGTGCACGTTTCTAAACGGTGAGGGGAAACGGTGTTCTGCTGTATTTCCCCTCGAGTGTAGAATGCAGTCTTAACCGTAGGAAACACAGAGCTGTATGCAAACATTATAAATGCAATAGTAAAGTAAGTGAACTACGCATTTCAAATATTTATAATACATAATTTGAATCCTACAGACTTATTTTAACACTTCGGTGTTTATATAAATGACATAACAGCGATATAATGTGTTTATTAACAGAAAGAGCCTGAGTACAACCATCAAACTCTCAGCAGCATGACCGCCGGCTCAATGTGATATGTCATCATCTTGCGTCATAATCTAGCTCTTGAGGCTACTTGAGCGCTAACGCAGCGTTTCATTTGCCAGTAGCCTTTTCTGTGTGCACGTGAGCTCTCTGAACGTTTGATCTCCCCTGTTGCGTTTGAGGAGGAGATAACCTTGCAGTCCTCTGTGCAGAACCTGCTGATACTTGAACATGCCTTGACAGCGAGAAGGGGGAAAACACAAAAATACACACCGACTTTATTGAGCACAAATGTTGAATTAAAAACACTTTTATGCTCTTTTGTTTTGCCATATTTGGCAACAGGGCCCGGGCTGTTGATAAGGAGAAACGTTACAGTACATATTTTCACTTTTGGGGCTTTATACATTAAGCTTTGGTCAATATTAGCTAATACTTGGGGAACAAACATCTCCAAGAAGCACTGATATATGTATCTGCGGAGCCAGACGCGTACCTTGTGCAACAGCAGCGTGGATGGTCTCCGTGTCAAACTTGACCCTTGCCCTCGCAGGAGTTCCCAGCATCTTCTCCCAGACCAGAGTGACCTCCTTCAGACACGGGGTGATTTCCTCGTAGTCCAGCTTCAGGCGCTTGTTCTGCAGATCGCTCTCCGAGGCTGCGAACGGAGAAAACACAGAGGACGCGCGTCAACGATGCGCCGTGTGTGTGTGTGTGTGTGTGTGCGTGCATCTCTCTTCTCAAACCACTAACCTCTGTACGTTTTGTCCTTTTTGTTTCCTGCACTCGATCACTTTCCTACATTACTCGGACAAACTTCCACACACACTTTGTCAGAAGTATAAAAACAGTGACAATTTCTAAACAGACCAAGCCACACGCATTTCATGAGTGAAGCTGTCATCATCTAGTGACTGAAATTAGCACAAAAGACCAGATGTGCGCAGGATGTTTTAGACTTGTGGTACTGAATCAAAAAAAGGGTTTGGGAAATGTTGGGTTTGGGAAATGTTGAGAGCAAACAGCTCAAGCGGTTAATGTGCGAGAAGTAACTGCGGTAGGAGCGCTTAAGCCGGTGTTCATCTTCAGTTGTTTTTTTTCAAGCCTGCAATAACTTAATGAATACTTCGTAAAGGGCAACGAAGTTGTGAACACAGCATTTACACCATCACCTTTTAAGTTGTTGAATCAAACTTGTTAGCAAACTTCACATCCAGCAGTTACAGAACGTTTATCTGTTATTTGGAGTCCTGTTTCTGGGCCAGCTGGCAAACGTAAGTCCAATATTCCCGATCTTTTAGCTCGGTTTTTGGTCTCCACCAACTGCTGAGGGAAATATCTTTCTCTTTAGCTGCTAAACCCTCCATTGTGTTCACCAGCTAGCTGCTGATTGTGTCTCCAGTTTGGGGCCGAGAGGGTAACGGACCAGTTTTTATTAAATCCAATCAAATTTGGATGTTTGAAAATGACAAACTGAGTAAATCAAGGAACATCTTAAAGCCTTTGACAGAGGACATAAGATGATAATTAGAACACGTCCCCCTGCGGTGTTACAATAAGACGGTTTTTTGCCCAATCTATTTTGTGGCTTTCAGATTAACACAAACTACACAGAGAGACACAAACTGTGAACTCCGTTGCAACATGTTGACACCAGCGATCAAAGAAGGTGAGGGCACGCCCAGCGCCCCTCGCCTGTTCCTCTCTCTCTCTGACAACACCCTTCCTCTCTTTCCTCCCTAATCTCTCAACCCACAGCCCTTCGTCTCTTCTCTTTTCTGCCTGCACTCTGAACTCTTTTGTCTCATCCAATCCCCCGTTTGTCTCGTCCGTCGGCCACACTCTCCCTCTCCCTCCTTCCCAGTTGTGGACTCTCTCTCCACCCTTTCACACTCATCCGTGGTGTCCACCCGCTGACCAGCTGCGGGTGACATCATCGCTACGGGAGAGGAAAGAGACAGCAGTCCATTTCCTGTTCCAACCTCCATGGACGCCTTCCCAGGCTACTGACTGAAGGCCGGGACGCAGTCTTCAGCTGTGTGGTGCGACGCATGCTGGATGTTGGGTTAGAGCAGACGGCACTGGAAACACTCTTTGGGTGCGCTCGGCATGACAGAACTTTTTGGGTCACGGTCGAATGAACGGGGGCCGATTAACAACAACAGAGGGTTTTCAAATAGAAAACCTTTGTTTGTGTTCTTTTATGAAAGATCTCGTCAATTATTGCAGATTTGCAATTCTCACCAATAAAGTAAGCTACTATGACCCCCCCCATCCTCATGTTCTATGACCACGCGCCAGCTAGTGAGCCCATTCGGCAACATTTTTGCAAAACATGAACTCAGGCAAATACCACAGCTTGAACGAACAAACTGAGTCAATTCAGTGCCTCGCAAAAGTGGACTGCTATGCATAGAGCTGGCATTATAATCCAGGATAAAACACATTTTGAAACATATCGGGCATAAGACAAATTAAAAACATCTCGAGATATCTGAAAAGTGTTTTTATGAAATGCTGTGTATCATGCCCTCAGCAATCAAAGACAGAGAAGTAGCGGGAGTGACCTGGAGGGCGTAGTCTGGATAATAATAATAAAAAAAAAAGCAAAAGTTGGACGGAGCAGACAGCGGACACACCCAGGGTAAGAATAGATGCTGCTGGGGCGGCCGTGGCTCTGCTGTCTGTCTTATCTGGAGAGGGCGAGAGTCTGCCCGCTCTCCATTTCTCTCCCATTCTGTCTCCCGGAACACCCCGCCCATGATAACACACACACACACACACACACACACACACACACACACACACACACACACACACACACACACACACACACACACTTTCACAGTTGACCCATAAAACAGGCAGCAGCGTGAGAGATAAACAGAAGGAATGGAGCTCCACCCGGACAAATAACGGATGGAAAGGTGGAGCGCGGGAGGGAGAAATAAAACAATGTTAAACTAATGGACGCCAGAGAAAACCACCACACGCCGCAGATGTGTACATTGCATCCACACAGAGGGTGTGAGGTCACTGCCCGGACATGTTTTTATTTCATCATTATTGACCCACATTCTCTCCGTCCACACCCTGTTATACAGGCAATTACTTCTACTTGTGTGATGGAGTCATGGTATGCATACAGCCAGTTAGGGGGTGAGGCGCGCAGCTAGGTGTGTGTGTGTGTGTGTGTGTGTGTGTGTGTGTGTGTGTAAGCATGCCAACTGGGTCAGGAAAGAGGAGTCGCACTTGGCTAACATATGCCTACCAGCGAAAATGTGTTATACAACCTCTTCATTCGCGATGGGGGCTAAATGTTAAAAGAAACAAGTGTGCGCTTGATCGCCTAATAAAATAAAAAATACAATCCAACTTTGCAGGAACAGGCAGCTGTGAAGGATTTCAGTATTAAAAACATTATTAGTATGATTAATAACACCCCAAGTGGTGAGTAGAAGTGTCGTAATAATAAGAATGTCAAAATATGTTAAAAAGTCACAATATATTTACTTATGGAATGTATAATATGTTTACAGTATGTTTATCATAGAAGTGTTAAGCCATAAAAGACAATCATTGAATGTATTAAACTGTGAAGAATAGCCAAGGGACAGAAAGGGATTTCGAGACAGGCATTGCAGAGACCACCAGGTCCAGAGGAGGAGTCCGGACAACTTCAACCAAACACTGAGATGATAACTGCCCGAAGCCAGGAGGGGCTATTGAATTCAGGCCAATCACAGAGGCTGATACTGGACATTTAAACTTTCGGACAGAGACTTTTAAATATAAGATAGTTCCAGAGGGTTTTGGCTTGAGTTCGCGCCGTTACCACTCTGTGTAGTTGACCAGCTGGGCTGGCCTATTAGGTGGGCCTTGTGAGAACTCTGCCCCACGGGACATATTGATATCGATAGAGTAATTCAGTTTGCAACTGTTCTAGCTTCTCTTGTTTATTAAATATTTTTTGATTGTAAACCGGATCCAGTTCATTTTTGGTGCGACTTCGCTGCCGAAGGTTTGCAGCAGCGAAAGTCCAGCGGTCTGGGTCTCCCCTGAAAAGATCTAGCCCCAACACAGCAAAGAAATGTAGAGTGATTCTATGACCTCAATGATAGTGGCTTTATTACCCGCCCCCCCCACTCACCCTGTAGCTTCTGGTTCTCACTCTCCATCCTCTGCAGCAGGATCTGCTGCAGGATGGCCTTCCTCCAGAGCTCCCTCAGCTCCTCTTTGCTCCGTCTCGTCCTCTCCTCGGGCACCGCCCGTATGGACGAGTCCCCGCTCCCTCCAACTCCCACCTGGCCAGCGCACAGCAGGCCCCCCTCCAGACAGGGGTCCCCCCTCTCTGAAAGACACGTCAGATCACGCTGCATCAGGCTGGATGAGATCACGCTACATTAGGTGTCCACTGCATACACAGCAAATAATTAACAAAAGGTAACACTTTGTTATGTTATGTGAAAATAATAGTTAAAAAAATAGTTTGAATAAGTTTTAATTATCATGGGACATTTTTTCTTTTTTTTTTTACTTCATTCATTGGACCTCAGTAAAAAAAAAAAAAAAAGTACAATTTGCAACACCTGTGCAAAACAAAATGATAAACACAGATGTATTCGACACAGTCTGGTGTGTCGCACACAAAGTGTAAAGTAAAAAAAAAAAAGTGTTTGTGTGACTCCACCCCAAAGTACAGGGTGGATCCCAAAACCTCAAAATACCGTGTTGTTTAGAGGAAGGACATAAAACTATCCAGCGCTTCTGTTTCAGTTCATAGGAACATCAAGATTCATTTGATTGCATGCTACACCGCTAGGTGGGGTTAACGTTCACGTCTGCCTTTGTCTCTGTATCGGGGTGACGTTCCAAGACGTGCTGAAACCAGCAAAGTCGTTATACAAACATATGGCTCTTATGTTATAAGTGTGACACACACACACACACACACACACACACACACACACACACACACACACACACACACACGGCAACTCTCTTGAGAGACTTGTGTATTTCTTAGACAAACAGACTCCTGTCCTGCTTGAATAGAACACGGCTGAAGAGTCAGCTTCGAGGCGTGAAAAGTGTGCGTGCACACACACACACTTGCAAACACATACAAACATCTCCTGCGATCCTCGTGGACTACTTTAACCCTCTAGCCCCTTACCCTAACTGTAGCCATTAGAGCTACCGTACTGTGTGCGCCTAAACTTAATGCCAAAATAACCACACACACACACCCCCTCTTGCATAAAGTGGCATGATCCACTCCCTGAGCAAACATTTCACCAGACCCATGTCCCTGAACACACACACGCACGCACGCACACACACAATATATGCAAAGTAGATCAACGCGGCTGGTGCTTTCCTCTGGCGCTGTCTGTGTGTGGACTGTCAACATGACCTTGAGACACCGTCATCCCTTCCAACACACGCACAAACTCGACACACCCATGACCTCATGCATGTAAGCGCACACACACACACACGCACATAAATCCACGCCCCGACTCGACCCAACTCTGGAGCGCTGCATTGGGCCAGCAAAAAGCCCATCAAGCTGAGCTGCTAAGAGCACCGCGTCTCCTTCACCTCGCGGCGGTCGACCATCAAAATAAAAGTCAGGTGCAGATGTAATTAATGGTGAGGAGAAACGTCCCGCTTGATGTTCGGCTGTTTTGGTTTGAAAGGGAAACTGGGCCCTGAAGCTCGTTCATCTCTCATGAGCAGCATGGTGAGTGGGGAGGGTGGATGAAAAGGTCACACTAGTCCCACATTCCTGTTGCGTTTATGAAGACTCCAACATGCATGTGCACGGACAGTAATCCACCAATCCAACTCCGCCACTGTGAAGGTTTTTAATACTCAGTTGGTGTTGCGACAGCCTCAGAGGTGTTAATTGAACCGTATGGAAATGTTTGTGGCTGTGTGCTCAGAATTTGGAAACATCAGACTTTGGCACCCCCCAGTGGTAGCATAAGACAAAGACAGTGGCTAGAAACTGTGTGGCCTTCTACACATAGTGGCTAACATACATATGATGATATGATTTCAGTGAGCTTAATATCAATAATTTGTACAGCTGCTTTTGAAAAAATTATTAAATTAGTACTTCAAAGTCATTATTATTTTTCTCATGCTGTGTTTTTGTAGTTTCCCTCATTTATCGGGGAAGAAGTCACACCTGCATTGTAAACTACACAAGTCAGTCCTATCACACTGTAAGAACCCAAGTTCATGGGTTCCAAGTAGCTCTGGCATAGCAGGACTTCCATAGAAACATCCACCCTTATTATTGTTGTGGCGTTGTTGTGGCATGACAACATTACGGCAGAATGTGCTGTTATTTAGGTTTCCGGGTCAATGCCAGTTGACTCTCGAAAGCAGCGGGGGGAGTATTTATTTTCCCGGACTCCTTATCTCACCCGCGCGCGTTTACTCTGGCGATAGTAGTTGAAATAACATGCAAGCATTCTGTTAAACCTGTAAGAGGAGTTTTGAATAGAAGACGGTTGGCAGGGACACAGACAGCTGCTGTCTACATTGTTGGTGCTTTTCTGACAAAACTGTAAAATTATGTAATGTGCCAATTTAGAGAGAGTTCATGACACTCGCACAAAGACAGTCCACCCTTAGAAACCCACGTAGACCTGGTTTTGTCTAGTTTAGGGGGGGTCGACAGTATATGCCATAAAGAAATTTTACCAGAACAATCTAGATTGATAAATAGCACTACAGGTAAGAGGTAAAAAATAGTTTTTTTTTGATTTTGGGGTGAACTGTCTCTTTAAGTTACAAAATGTTGAGAACCCATGGATTATGCCATATGAAAAAAAAAACAGCTTCTCAAATGTGAGGGATTCAGAGACAAGACATTCGAGGACATCATCTTGGACCTTTATTTACGGACGTCTTATAAACCCGAATCTTTGGTAGCGCCCCTAATCAATTTCAAGCCGGAGTTTAATGCATGTCACTGAAACAAACTCAAATGCTATAAGCTGACTAAAGAGTTTACAAGACTCAAAAACATTTCTTCAAACACTAAATATAAACACCTTTAAGTGTAATAAAGACATTCCTTTCTTTTGCTAACGTAAGAGGTAATTGTATGGACATGTCTGTTTCTTGTTTTTTTTAAACATAAGTTATTGTGGAGCTACAGTGTGACCAACCCAACTATTGACACTGTCAACACTTGTCATACACCCACACAAGTAACAAAACACAGGATATGAAGACATGCAAGCACATGCATGATTCCCATGTCTACACAGACAGACACACAGACAGACACCCTTTTGTGTAGACATTGACTGAGATGTCATAACGTCCCTTCTCCGTTCTCTACACTGGCTCCCTGTAAGAGCTCACATCCAGTTTAAGAGTCTGGTGCTAGCCTACAGGGGAGTGAAAGGAACAGCTCCTTCCTATCGCCAGGCCATTGTCAAGCCTACACCCCCGCCCGACCACTTCGCTCTGCTGCCTCGGGGCAATTGGTTGCCCCGTCGCTCAGAGGTCCTTGCGGCCCATCGACTCGGTCATGGCTGTTTTCCGTCCTGGCCCCACAGTGGTGGAATGACATCAGGACAGCAGAGTCACTGCCCATCTTTCGGCGCAGCTGAAAACTCACCTCTTCAAGAAGTACTACCCAGAGCTTTCCACTCAGCACTTATTGTATTCATACTAGTTTGTTGCACTTTTTGTATTTGTTTCTTTCTGCACTGTACTTTTGCTCTGGTTTATTTAAGCTCTTAGATGCTTGTTTGAAGAAAGGAGATGCACTTATGACTTCTGGTGACTAGCAGTTCTCTTGAATACCTATGCTGAATACACTTATTGTAAGTCGCTTTGGATAAAAGCGTCTGCTAAATGACTGGAATGTAATGTAATGAGACCGGCGAGCAATAATTCACTCTCTACTTGAATCCTTCACGCCTCTGAAATATCTGACAAGGCTGTAAATTTCAAGACAGACGTGTCTTAATTTAATTTAATTTCTTTCACTCGCATATTTTTGCTGTTTTTAAAGCCTGGTTCCGTTTGCTATTATGGTGTGTTCCTCTCTTGCGCCACATGTTTTTCTAGCCGTTTTTTAGACACCAATAAAAGGAAAATGTTCTCAACTTTTCAGCGCCAGGTGCGGAGTCGTACCGGTTGTCAATGTCACACTTGGCCCTGGCAGCCGATCAAATGTTTCTTTTGGTAGGATACTAGGCGTGCCTGTGCACATGTGAGCAACTGTCTTGACCTGGAGCTGAGTTCTTCTTTGGAAGAAGACAAAGTAATCCAAATGTGAAGATCTCAACTGCACAAAGCAGGTATTTCTGTTTCTGTCTGCCAAATGATTTAAGAGAGTACTGTTTGGTATCGCAGAATCGTTCCCTGCATCAAACTCTCTTTGACGCGCGTGTGCCAGTGTCAGATTTTGTTCCTGAGCAGATTGAATAATGTTTAAATTGCTTAATTATCTTCAAAATTTGTCGTTAAAAATAATATGGAGAATTCAGGATTTGAGCCAATTCTGTCTGAAAAGCAAATCTTATGAATTACTTGGGTTGTCAGAAAATATCTATATACTTGAGTATTGTGATATTATGTTTTGTGATACTGTTTAGATTCTTAAAAACACTATCGACTAAAAAAAAAAATGTAATGCATATATACATACACACACACACACACACACACATATATACACATACATACATACATACATATATATACAGTGGGTACGGAAAGTATTCAGACCCCTTTAAATATTTCACTCTGTTTCATTGCAGCCATTTGCTAAAATCAAAAAAGTTCATTTTATTTTTCATTAATGTACACTCAGCACCCCATCTTGACAGAAAAAAACAGAAATGTAGATATTTTTGCAAATTTATTAAAAAAGAAAAACTGAAATATCACATGGTCATAAGTATTCAGACCCTTTGCTGTGACACTCATATTTAACTCACATGCTGTCCATTTCTTCTGATCCTCCTTGAGATGGTTCTACTCCTTCATTGGAGTCCAGCTGTGTTTAATTAAACTGATTGGACTTGATTAGGAAAGGCACACACCTGTCTATAGAAGACCTTACAGCTCACAGTGCATGTCAGAGCAAATGAGAATCATGAGGTCGAAGGAACTGCCCAAGGAGCTCAGAGACAGAATTGTGGCAAGGCACAGATCTGGCCAAGGTTACAAAAGAATTTCTGCAGCACTCAAGGTTCCTAAGAGCACAGTGGCCTCCATAATCCTTAAATGGAAGAAGTTTGGGACGACCAGAACTCTTCCTAGACCTGGCCGTCCAGCCAAACTGAGCAATCGTGGAAGAAGAGCCTTGGTGAG